GTTATCTTATTGAGGAGGTGCAGCGAGGGCCTGGCGGATGAGGCCCATCCCCCTGGAGTTTTAGAATGTGGACCAGCCAGGGTCGCCCGCAAGCCCCTGGAGACAACACATTACACACAAAGGACTGGGAGGATTCTGTTGTTGCTGCCACACTGGAAACTAAAAGGCAATGGGGCAATGCCTACAAAATTATAAAGGAAAGTACTTTATGGCCTAAAACATTTTATCCAATGAGTCCATCAAGTGTCAGGGTAAATAAAGATGCAAAGTCATAAACTTTTATCTTCCATGAGTCTTTCTCAGGAAGATACTGGAGGAACCAAAACAAGAAAGGAAGGAATAGGACATGGGACACAGGATCAAAGACAGCGAGAGACAGAGGCATAAAGGGACATCCCAGCACCAGCCGAGCACCAGCCCAAGGGCAGCCGAGCTGGAGAGACTGCCTCCCGGTGAGACTGGTGCTCTGCGTAAACCACGCACTGTGCCACCCAGTCAGGCCCAGTGTGCCGCTCTCGTGTTGGGAATGGTGGACACACTCCTAAAACCCAAGTTAGCAGATGCCAATCAAGGCCGACGCTGAAAACAGCCTCTGTGGGGACAGCCATCTCAGGCCTGTCACTCACTCTCCTGTAGAGAAATAAGCTGCCAACAGCCTCTGAGTCCTGTGTTCTAGACCAAACATGTCAAACTCGCGGCCCATGGCCAACATAATGGTATGTAAGAAACATTTTAATAAAAATTTCATAACTCAATTTTTACAATATCCAGTTATACATAATCTATATATTAAAAAGCCTAATATGCAAATTGTCACCTTGGGAGTTTGACCAGGAGTTCGATCACTCGCTATGACGTGTGCTGACCACCAGGGGGAAGCACGGAATTGAAGGAAGGCTCTGGCCAGCAGCTGGAAGGCCCTGATAGGCCCTGATCCCCTTACACACCTTATGTGCAGGTGCACCATTTCTCTCCACTAATACTAGCAGCAAATATTTTAGCAGCCAATGGCCACATCATTAGTCTTGGACTGACTTGTTTGGTGTGTGCAACAGGAAATATTTCATTTTCGGAGAACAAGAAAAATAGGTTTAGTTGCATTACGCTTATTAATTTGTGCAGTTATTCGGTGTCTGGTAAGTTAATGTTCAAAAAAATATTAATTTTTATTAAAATGTTCTATTATTTTATGTTAATGATGACTCATTTATTTCAGCCCTTTGTATTCAGCAGGTCTCTATTGAAATAAACCTACATTTCTATGAAAATTGAAGCTTTTGGTTTTTTGCGGCCCCTAAACTTAAACCTTGTTTATTTGGCCTGTGTTAGTCTTTGCGTTTCTCATGCTCCCAGTTCTCCTTCCAAACTCTTGGGAAGAGGCAGACTGGTCAGCTCAGGCTATGCACGTCCGTGAGGGCTGCTCCTCTGGCCTGTGCCACAGAGGAAGGTGGGAGGATCCCCCCGTCTGCTGTGTAACAACTTCACTGGTATTTCCACACCCTTTAGTATTCCTCACAGCTTCATACACGCACATACAACGGAGAATGGGAAAGGGGCTCATAAGCATGGGGCTCAGGAGATACAGCTGAGTGGATTTATGGATTGCCAAGAGCTGATGGTACGTCCCACCACAGCTTGCGAAATAAAGCCTTTCATCTTTACTTTCCAAATAAACTCTACTTGCCTTAGCATATACGACAATACCTCGTGCCATTTAAAATGTCTACACAGCCCTGACTGGTTTGGCTCAATGGATAGAGCATCGGCCTGCGGACTCAAGGGTCCCAGGTTCGATTCCGGTCAAGGGCATGTACCTTGGTTGCGGGCACATACCCAGTGGGGAGTGTGCAGGAGGCAGCTGATCGATGTTTCTCTCTCATCGATGTTTCTAGCTCTCTATGCCTCTCCCTTCCTCTCTGTAAAAAAATCAATAAAATATATTTAAAAAAATAAATAAATAAAATGTCTACACAGCCCGGCTGGCGTGGCTCAGTGGTTGAGCGTTGACTTATGAACCAGGAGGTCACGGTTTGATTCCTGGTCAGGGCACATGTCCGGGTTGTGGGCTGGATCCCCTGTGTGGGGCATGCAGGAGGAAGACAATCAATGATTCTCTCTCATCATTGATGTTTCTATTTCTCTCTCCCGCTCCCTTCCTCTCTGAAATCAATAAAAATATAAAAAATAAATAAAATGTCTACATAAATAAAGCGTCTGCTTAAATCACTGTGTGTCATAAGCAGCTGCAGAAGCTGAGACGGTGGGTGAAAAAGGGCCTCAGCAGAGTAGAGGCCAATAATGACATTCACGTTTACTGAGAATCTATCTTTACGATGAGGTCAGAAGAGAACCACTTTCACGACAATAAATAAAACAAAGCATTTTACATTCTTTGAATTGTGCATGTAGCTCTCAAGGGACCTGTCTCCAGAAAGAAAACAACTAGAGCCCCAAATGGCCTGCACTGCGCAGGCCGCTTGCCCTTGGACGCGCATGTGCGAGTGCTCGCCTGTGGGAACGCGGAGACAGAAAAACAGAACTTGGCCAGCTACATGGGTGCTCTTTCCAGATGCAAAATAAGATTTGCTTTGAAGAATACAAAGGCTGCTTTCTTCTCGAACAGGGAAGAATATGTAGCTCCTAGCTAGTTGGCTAAAAGCAGGTTCCAAGATAACTTACTTATGCCTTTGTGAGCGCTAGCCCCTCCTAGACCATTTCTTGCAACAGAAACCAAACGAATTCAGATAAATTTTTAAGTCTCTTGCTATCTGAACATTTGCTTCTTACAATCAGAGATGCAAGAACCAAATGTGATGTGAACAACAGGAGATACTGTGTACATATTTATCTAAGGGAGGGGCCAGTCAACTTCCGTACAGGCCCAGGTAGAGGAGAGTTTTGGCTTTAAAGGTTATAGTTTTACACGCCCGTACAGTTGCAGTATAAAAGCAGCTACAGGCAATGAGTGAGCGACCAGGTGGCTGTCTCCAATCAAGCTCATTTATGAAACGTGTGGTTGCAGGACTTAAATCCAGTGTACCAGACATTCCTCTATTTCATTACCTCAAATGGCAGAGCTCTGATGATATAAAACATTCATTTTTACAGTCTTTAAAAAGACTGGGCCAGGCCAAAGTGAAAAGATTCTGAGTTATAGTATGTGCAAATCAGGGTAAGGACATTATTTGGGAAAGTGTCACTTTTTCTGAAAAAGTTTTATCAGTCATTTATGTTTATATTTTAATTAAAAAGATGCTGTTATAAAAATTGACTTGCCACATGGCTATGAAGTGGCCAGCAGAGAAGTGGACGGGCCTACCCTGCAGGCTCCCAAGCCCGTTCTGTACACTGTGATGCCTTAAGGTGCCTTGTTCTTCCAATTTCAAAGTTTCCTCAGAAAGATCTGGTTTAATTATCCTGTACTAGAGGCCCGATGCACAACCCGGGCATGTGTCATGACCGGGAATCAAACCGTGACCTCCTGGTTCATAGCCATGCCAGCCAGGTGAGCTTACCCTTTTAAAATGAACAATTCAGTAGCGTTTAGTACAGTCACAGGTCATACAACCAACATCACTAATTCCAGAACATTTATATCACCCCTAAAGAAACCCTGTGCCCAGTCACTTCCTGGCCTCCCTCCTTCAGCCTCTAATTTACTTTGCCCACACTGGACATTTCATATAAAGGAAACCATATAGTATGTAGCCTTTTGGATCTGGCTTTTTTCATTTAAAAAGTTGCAATTAAAAATTGCATTTTCATTAATAATGAAAAATTCACAGGAAAGCATGAATAAAATTTAAGTACTCATCCAGTGATAACCACTGTCAATGTTAGTATAACATTTAGATAAATTACCTTTACAGAATTGGAAGCATACTATACTGCTTTAGAATCTGTTGACTTAATATAATGGGCACACTTTTTCTCGTTCCTTTACATGTATTTGCACAAAGCAAGATTTTTAAGCTTGATTCCCCTATTGTTAGAAATCTGTCTTATTTCCAGTTCTTTAAAAATAACTTTAAATAAATAAAACTATAATCAACTTGTTCAAAATTCTATCTTCATAGGCATTCACAGTTACTTTCTTGAAACACGATTCCTGAGCTAAAGGGCATACTCATTTTTGAGATTCCTGACACATACTTCCCTCCCCAGAGGCGGCATTCATGCACACCCCCACCAATGGTGGAGCAGAAATCTCATTTTGATCATCTGATCATTAAAATACAAAATCCTCCCAAAATGGCAGGTGCAATATTACAGTTTAAAATTTCACTTTATAAAGTTCAAATGCAGGCAAAACTAAATTAGCACGTAGGGGTGCGAGCTTTTGTAGAAAGCTCCGAGGGAGACAACCGGGGGACAGCTATGTCCGGCGTCGGGAGGGGCTGGGGACGGGCGGTGCTGGATTTCTGCATGTGAGTGAGGCTGTTCACGAAACTGTGCTGATGCACTTTATCTTTGTGTATGGCGGCTCCTGATGAAAAAGCTTACATTACATCAGATATTACTTTCTTGTCTAACTTTCACAGAAAACATTGTCCTGGTAAACGGAAATTCCTAAACTAAATGCAAACAACTCTTCAAGTAGCAGAGAAATGCTGAGGGCTCAGAGAGGCGGGACCTCGATGGGAATTAGGAAAAGGGTCCCTTTTGGGAAGATGATTCCGCGAAAGCTGTGCCTTAGGTCGGAGCGGCCTGCTGGGTGCTGCTGGGGAGGTTACCTCTCCTCTGAGCAAAGAGGAGGAGCCCTTCCACCGGACACGCAGTTCTGCACTTCAGGACGCGGTGAGGTGGCTGGAGTGGACTGGCTCCCACCCCACCGGCCTCCGTCTGGAAACCTCTGGGCCGCGCACAACGGCAACCCTGGCAGCCCTGACGGATGGCAACGCCACGCACACTGGCCTAGACGAGCACAGGAATACACAGAACACACACGGGCTTGGACGGCTAGTGCCAGAGCTGCTGGGAAGCAGGTGCACACCCCTTACCGCGTAGCCTTCTGTCTTCTTCTGGCACCATTTCAGCAGAGCATTGCGCTTCGAGCCGCCGTACTCCCGGGCCAGCGCAGCCAGAGGGTCTCTCCTTTCCACACTGGTTAGAGAGAGGAGCACACAGTAAAGAGAAGGTGCTAATGTTTAGAGCCCTCAACTATGTAAGAAATAAGTAATCATATTAGAAAGGCAGGAGTCTAGGTTATCTCAGTAAACGCCAAAGAAAAACAACCAAATCAGTCACATTAGCAATACATTTTTATGTCTCAGGGTATGAAAGAAAAATTAGATTGTCTTTCTTGACTATTGAAGTCTATAAATAGGTTTTGAAAAATTTTTAAGTCCATCTGCTGCTCTTGCCATCTAGCCTTTTACTTTTTTACCTAAGTACGGTATCATTTTAATGAAAGATACCTACGGAAAAACTCGCGTGGCAGGGCCCCACTTACGTCTGCGTGTCACCTAACAGGCAGGTGAGAAGGGCCTTTAAAAACACGGGACTGGCTGCGTGTGGGGGAGATGCTGGGAATGGAGGTGAAAGGCAAAGTCTAACAATTACTCAAAAGGGGGCTTTCAAACTCCACAGGAGACACGCCTGCTCCTCTGTTCTTGGGCAGTCACTCAGCCCTGAGCCCCATTTACCACAGGAAGTGATCTTCCAGGAGCAAGGGCTCAAGTGCCCATCCTCGATTTTTCTATAAACGTCTACGGCAATGTTATGCTGCCTAAAATTCCCAAATACTGAAAGGGACTTAAGGTCACACGGTTTCTTCCATGAGGCAGCCAGGGAAGGGGGATTATATTCCCATCCCACTGGAACAGCCCGCGATTTCCCGGCACCGCGTGTAGGAGAGCAGGGATAGGGCAGGGCCTCTCTGGAGTGTCAACTGTCGCAGCGACAACGTGAGAGCAGCAGGATTTACTCCTCGGCGTGTGCATCATCACGGCACAAGATGTTCACAGCAGTGTGGTGGGCAGTCAGACAGGCACGAGGAGAGCAAGGGCGATGGGCCCGGTACAGAAGGTCTCCAGGGCAGAAAGGCCCCGGTGCCTAGCAAAGGCAAAACTGGGAAAACAAGGACCTCGCCCCAAGTGACTTTCCTCCCCAGCATATCCCTGGTCATGCAGCTCGGACCCTCCCCTGACCTTTCCTCCCGTGGCATGTCACTAATCATGCGTAGACCCCCTTGCAGGAGGAACAAGAGGCCAAAAAGTGGCTTCATGCAACTCCGTGTGGGCCCTTGCATGACCAATCCCTTAGCGTTAACCCCTAGGGATAACATCAGTTGTGTTTCTGTTTCAGGCCCAGAAAAGCAGCAAAACCAGACAAGCGACTGACCTTAGGACCAGCTACAATGACAAATGACCCCTTGCCCTGGTGCCAACCCATCAGTGGAGACCATGACCCTGAAAGGGCACACCTGGAAAGGTGACAAATATTTATTGAGATCCTCCCCTGGGACTTCCCCTGAAAGCCCTTAGGATGGAGGACCAGCAAGGCCCTCTCTAGGGAGCACTGGTTTCCCCACTGGTTTCCTTGCCTCTCTCCTCCTTGAGCTCCAAGGGCCCTTCGTTTGCCTCTGTAACTTGTTTCCTGCCCCTTCTACAGCTCACTTATTCTGCCTCTGTGATTGTCTAAATAAACTTCCTCTTACAGTTTGAGTCTTGGCTCTGAATTCTTTCTTAGCCAGAACTCAAGTACCGAGGTTCCTGAACCGAAGTCCAATCTCTGGTAACAACAGCAGCACTTCTTATAACAGCAAACACTGGAAACAACCAATGTACATCATCAGGAAAATGGATAAACTGGGTATATTTACATAATAGAATACTATATAGCAATAAAAAAACCAATGAATTACAGATGTATGTAATAACTTGAATGAATAGCAAGAACATTTTGAATTAAGAAACTTCAACAATGTTTTTATGTTTCCAAAGTTGCAAATATGCCCTGGCCAGGTGGCTCAGTTGGTTGGAACATCATCCCAGACACCAAAAGGGTATGGGTTTGATTCCTGGTCAGGGTACATACCTAGATTTTGGATTTGATGCCCGCTTGGGGCTAGTATGGGAGGCAAAACTCTCACGTTGGTTTCTCTCAACATTGGTCTCTCTCCCTATCTCTCTCTTGTCCTCTTTTTCTAAAAATCAATATATAAATATCCTCAGGTGAGGATTAAATAAATAAATTTTAAATATGCAATTTAATTGATATACTATTTGTATTGTCTGGGTACACAAAATACATGGAGAAACTGTAAAGAAAAACACACAAAGTTCAGAATGGTGGTGACCTCGGAGGAGGGCGAGGAAGGGACAGGAGGTGCTGCAAATGGCAGGGGCTGACGGGAAGTTCAAAAGTGTTAATTTCCTTTTCCTTAGCCTGGAAGGTGGTGTCCAGGTTGCTCTCCATCGGGCTGATGTTCCTTATACCTTACACATATTTTATTCTTTTGTATCCATCCAATATTTAATAAAGATATTTTAAATGATTTAAAAGGAGTAATGGGATGATTCTAGACTGTGACAATCTGCATCAAGGTAGGGAGGTTTTAAGGAAAACTTTATACTTGAATTAAAGTTTTCTTGTATAATGTGATGCCTGCCTTTCCTTCTATTTGACACATCTGTAAACTCAAACCCCCAAGTTTCTGTTAACTATGAAGTTCTGGTGACGCTGCCTGTGTTTGCTGTGCCTGGCCTGGGCTTACTCCATTTCCTAGAGATGAATGTCTAGGCCTGACAAACGAGGGAAGACTGAAATGAGTATTTGGGAAAGAGTTTCTGTATAAATGGATGACTAAACATTTACCAAAAAGTTTTCTTTTAAAAACAGAGCTACCTAGATAAGATTGCAAAAAAAATTACTAATAGGATGAGAACTTCCAAGGTAATTTGTATCCTGCCATTGGTTTGTCTCAGTGACATGAATATAAAAATAAGTAACTAATTAATTTCACTAATTTAAGCTTTCACGATTAAGGGTATAGTAAAAATAGCATATTAATACACAAACAGCCTTTTTGTATGCAGTTCTGGCACAAAGAAAAGAGCAACTGGAAAAAAATAAAATAAAGTATAAAAGACCCATTTCAGAATAGCACTAATTTTGGTCCTTAAAACCTGTTTTGATTATCTCAATCTCTTGCACATAAACAAGACTGACATTTAATACCTGGAGCTTTAAATTAAACCTCTGAATGATATGCCTTCATTTATTGGGGCCAAAATAATGACTACACCCAAAGATATGGCAAGAGCTGAACTTACTCAGACTTTCAAAAAATCCTTTTATAATATTAATAATGGTAGTTGCAATGTCTGTTAAAAAGCCATTACTCCTAAGATAGCCAATTCTGTATACTCATCTACCTACCTATTCTTTTGTTTGTTTGATTTTTATAATTTTTTTTTTTTATTATTGATTTCAGAGAGGAAGAGAGAGGGAGAGAGAAATAGAAACATCAATGATGAGAGAGAATCATTGATTGGCTGCCTCCTGCATGTCCCCTGCTGGGGATCGAGTTCCAAACCTGGGCATGTGCCCTGACCAGGAATTGAATTGTGACCTCCTGGTTCATAGGTCGACTCTCAACCATTGATCCATACCAGCCGAGCTATCTACCTATTTTTTTTTTAATTAAATCTTTATTGTCCAGATTATTGCATTTGTTCCTCTTTTTTCCCCCCATAACTCCCCTCCTCCCAGTTCCCGCCCCACCCTCCGCCCTCACTCCCCACCCACTGTCCTCATCCATAGGTGCACGATTTTTGTCCAGTCTCTTCCCGCATCTCCCACACCCCTTTCCCCACCAAGAATAGTCAGTCCGTTCCCTTTCTATGTCCCTGATTCTATTATGATCACCAGATTATTTATTCACTTGATTCTTAGATTCACTTGTTGATAGATGCATATTTGTTGTTCATAATTTGTATCTTTACCTTTTTCTTCTTCTTCCTCTTCTTAAAGGATACCTTTCAGCATTTCATATAATACTGGTTTGGTGGTGATGAACTCCTTTAGCTTTTCCTTATCTGTGAAGCTCTTTATCTGGACCTTCACTTCTGAATGATAGCTTTGCTGGATAAAGTAATCTTGGTTGTAGGTTCTTGGTATTCATCACTTTGAATATTTCTTGCCACTCCCTTCTGGCCTGCAAAGTTTCTGTTGAGAAATCAGCTGACAGTCGTATGGGTATTCCCTTGTAGGTAACTGAGTTTCTTTCTCTTGCTGCTTTAAGGATTCTCTCTTTGTCTTTTGCTCTTGGCATTTTAATGATGATGTGTCTTGGTGTGGTCCTCTTTGGATTCCTTTTGTTTGGGGTTCTTTGCACTTCCAGGACCTGTAAGTCTATTTCTTTCACCAGGTGGGGGAAGTTTTCTGTCATTATTTCTTCAAATAGGTTTTCAATATCTTGCTCTCTCTCATCTTCTGGCACCCCTATAATTCTGATGTTGGTACGCTTGAAGCTGTCCCAGAGGCTCCTTACACTATCTTCGTATTTTCGGATTCTTTTTTCATTTTGCTTTTCCGGGTGGGTGTTTTTTGCTTCTTCGCATTTCAAATCTTTGACTTGATTCTTGCGCTCCTCTGGTCTGCTGTTGGGAGTCTGTATAGTATTCTTTATTTCAGTCAGTGTATGCTTAATTTCTAGTTGGTTCTTTATCATAACATCGAGGGTCTCATTAGATTTCTTGTAGATCTCATTAAGTTTATCGGCAGCTTCTAGACAGTTCTTGAGAGACCTTAAAAGTGTGGTTCTGAACTCTATATCTTCCATTGACAATTTTGTCCTGTTTCTTTGTCTCTGCATTTTTTTATGCTTTCTTGGTGCACCCCCTGGTGGTCTTTGTGCGCAGTCTTGTTGTAGTTAAGCCTTGATTGTTGTAGTTAATACTGGGGGGATTTGACCTCCAAGCCAACTGGCTGTGAGAGTCAGCTGTGTCTGCAGTGGGAAAACTTCTGTCCTCTGGGGAGGTGCTAATCTAGCCTTTGCCTGAGGCTATCTGGCAAATGGCTCTGTGCAGGGCTTGGGTGGGTCGGGTTGCACAGGATCAAACAGGGCGGGCTGAGCTAGCAGTTATGGCTGCTCTCAGTTCCGTCCCTAGGGGCTCTGCCTCACAGAGTCCCAGCAACCGCTGCAAACCTTGGAGAGAAAGCTGCTTTCGAGTTCCGACCAAAGCCAGACAGTCCCGCTTCTCCGTTTGAGTCTGGGTCCCTAGAGACTCGCCCGGATCTGGAGCTCAGAGTCTGAAACTCCCTCCCGATTGAAAACAACAACCGCGCCCTCTGCCGCCAGCCCGCTCCGCGTGCACTCTGCACCTGAGCATTTCACTTCAGCACTGTGCCTCCTCTGAGTCTGGGTATGATATTCTCTTTCCTCCTAGTTGTAGAATTTCCCCTCAGCCAGCCTTCCTGTGGTTCTGGATGATGTCCGTTCTGTCTTTTAGGTGTACCCTTGAATTGGTTGTTCGAGGCAGCAATCTCCGGCGTTAACCTATGCCGCCATCTTGGTTCTCCCCTATCTACCTATTTTTAATATCTACCTATTTATTGAGTGAAATGCTAAGGGTGTACCACAACACAAGAAGTTGAGAATGACATAAAAATGTAACACAAAGAATTTAAGATCCACTAAATTACAGTCTTAATAAGGGCAAAGGCATGCTGCTATGCACAGTGAATTAAACACCCAAATGAGTGGGAGATGCCTCAGGCGAAGAAAGGGGGTGCTGATGCCCCCAGGTGGTTAGTGAAACCTCATGCACAGTTTGCCCTGGAAGGGGAGGTGCTCAGGAGTTCAAGGCCAAAGGCACACCCTGTGGCTGGAACCTTGGCGGCATCAGAAGTGCCTCCATCAAGCTGCAAAGGCAGAGGAAGAACAGGCTTTGCTGACTGAGGGGCAGGGACATTCTGCACATGGGGGGGCGGGGCGGGGGCCTAGCTTGAGGAGAACCAGAGACGGGTGGAATGTGGACCCACGTGGAGGTGTCTGACACGGCTGCACAGGAAGCACTCAGTGTTCCAGAGGCTGACTCCACGTGGAGAAGCAGGACATGACGGAGGGGAGGCGGTGGCAGATTTGTGATAGCAAAGACAGCCTTTCGTGCCCACCCGGCGGTCTCTGCCCACTCTATCGGCCACTACAGCCCTCACCTCCCACTGAAGCACCCGCTAAACAGCCTTAGCAATACCCCTCCCATTACTTGCAGCCACTGTTTACTGTCCCACTACCACTACACACATCAAAGCCAGACCTCCACACGCCTGGTGGCTCCCACTGCTTTACCAAAACGAGTGCCAGCACCTGATGCTGGCCTTTGCACTGTGGCTCCCATCAGCCTTTCCTGGTGTGACGTCCTAAGGACGCACCTCCCAGCCCATACTGGCGGAAAGCCTACCACACACGTGCCTGACTCCCCAACCACTGCAGCCGTGGTCCAGTCTCACTGACTAACACCACGTCCCGGCTTGTGCCAGAACGCGGACCCCTGCAGGCGCCGGCAGAACTGCTGCTTCCTCTCCCCGATTTCCTGGTCCAACAGCAGCACCGAGCACCAGCTAGCTCCTTGTCCCACAGCCCTCACGTCACTCTGCACCTATTGTGCAGAGCCTCTCCCTTGCTGAAGGCAGGCACTGGGTCTTAACTGTTTTCATCCAGGAAATATGTGTAGAAGTACAGTGACCATTAAGTGATGAGGAATGACGTGCTTCTCACCACTCCAACTGAAGCCAAAAATGAAGAAACCTGTATAGACTCCCTCTCCCTTCCTCTAAGAAAGCCAACAGGTTTTAGAACAGCTAATAGAGAGAATCAATAAGCCCTGAAGCCTCGGATGTTACTCCAGACCAGATCTCTGGACTGCCAGCACAATCCGTTGGGCAATAAAAATGAAAAAAACTCAAGTTGCTGAACACCATACTCACTAGCTTTGAGTCTTCTATTGAATCCCCAAGGCTGAAAATCAGCTTGAGGATCAAGGGGGGTGGGGGATGATGAGGAAAATAAGACATTTTTTGGGGGGGGGGAGGGAGCTAGCAGCCTGACTCTGTACCTAGTTAATCAATATCCTTAATGCACATTCCTGTTAGCCTATAATCTAGTCACTGCCCCTTCTCTAATTATCTGGTCTTGCAAGACCTATTTACCTAAATACTTAGATTTTACAGAGGCCATAAACCATGAACCATATACAACCCCCAGAGGGGGTTATCAGTGCTGGCGTCATCCCAACACATGGGGCTTTTTGCAAAGCCCGTGAAAGGTCCGGAAGTCTGATCCTTATTTGGAGGACAAAGAAGCCAAAAGGTATAAAAGAAAACTTCCTCCATATTGGTTTGCTCAGAATTTGGAAACAGGCTCCCCTGAGTCACAGTACTAGTACATCTGGATATAAATGGGGTTTTCCTGTATCTCTGGGTACTCCTGTGTATTTTTTGATTGCCTGGTAAATTCTATAACAAAAGGCATAAACGAAGGAAGACCCAAGGGCATCGGCCCACTGTCTATCTGATTTCTCAGTTTATAACGTGGTACCTGAGTTTGCTGTGTGGCCTCAAGCCCCCGGTGGACGTGCTCAGCAGCCTCGTGCTTCCGAAGCCCAGGGCCGGGGGTCTGCTCAGCGACTCCAGGGAGGGGCTTTTGCGGAGGTAAGGGTCTGGCTTCAGGTCGTCAGTTCTTCCCTTTAGAAGACCTGTGTGCACAACAACACGATCACTACTCCCGAAGGACAGGGTCTGACTGGTCATCGCACTTTTTAAAACGTGGTACCTGAGTTTGTACACTACAATTCTCCTTTTATTCCCAATACGAATAGATAACAGATATAGTTTCTGGATAAGCAATAAAAATGCAAATAGGGAAGTGATATTTTCTGGAAAGGACTGCTCCGGCAGGGATGACTATATAATTCAAAGGGACTAATGCCAAATTATCCCCTTTTAGAAATCATTCAGAATTTCAAGACGCACCAGAGCACTGGGCCTGCGCCCTTATTAAGAGCCCGTGCCACTGCACAGGTCAATGCCCACGAAGCCAGCTCTGTCCTTGAGGCCGGTACTCCGTTTTCACTGATGGGCATCGGAGAGGGGGCTGGTGGGAAGGTGCCTAAGGGACCATCAGGTCACAGGTGGCAGCAGGCAGAGCTGGGAACCAAGAACGATAATTATTTCACAGGAGAAAAAGCCTGACTTTCTAAAAAGAAGCAAAAGGAAGTCTTTTCAGGCTCCTCTCGGCTGTCACATTTGTCTGAGTCAAAACAGGTAACAAAGCAGGCTGATTCCAGCTGGCATTTCTTAATGGGCCCCAAGGCATCTGGCAGGAGAACATTCTGGGCCAGCCGTGGGCAAACTACGGCCCGCGGGCCGGATTCGGCCCGTTTGAAATGAATAAAACTATTGAAAAAAAAGACTGTACCCTTTTATGTAATGATGTTTACTTTGAATTTATATTAGTTCACACAAACACTCCATCCATGCTTTTGTTCCAGCCCTCCGGTCCAGTTTAAGAACCCATTGTGGCCATCGAGTCAAAAAGTTTGCCCACCCCTGTTCTGGGCTGTCTAGTTTGTATTTACAAAGGAAAGGGGAGCTCAGAGAATGAAGCAACCTGCTCAGTGCCACAGGCGAGCCCTCAGTCACCTCCTCGGGCACCTTAAATAGTCGTGGAAGAAAATACTATTCGTACACCTAACAGCCTCCAATTATGGGGAGTTGGAAGAGCAGGGAAAAACAGTGTTTACACCACTAAAGAAAACAACAAAAACACACATTAATCCCATTACTACAGTTTCTGATGACTCAGTGTTGTCCAGCCTGAAAGCAAGCAATTTTCACGTGTAATCCTTCTCGGATAGTAAACAGAAGCACCCAGCAGACAGTGCCAGGTGGGGCAGACAGTGTCAGGTGGGGAGCGGGGCGTTGCCAGGTGGGGAGCGGGGCGTTGCCAACGAACTAGTCACTCGGAGGCAATGGCTGCTGTGGTCTCAGCGTCAGCATTTACCTGGTCAATTAGAAGGCTTTCTCTACACAAACGGGAATTTTAAGGCTGGAAGAATGGAAAAGACACAAATATTGTGACCAAAAGCTCACCTACTACACTTGAAATGGTTAAGATAATAAATGCTATGTCATAGGTATTTACCACAGTCAAAGCCACACGTGCCTATGACGCCCAGCACTGTGCCAGCAGGCAAGCTGCTCCCGTCACACTGCTCAGCGCGTGCAGAAGGCAAGCCGGCAGGCGCCCAGTGCTCTGCTTTGACCTCCCTCCATTCCTCGGAGGGTCACTCGGTTGGCAAAGGAATAACAACCTGCTCTGTGCCTCACTCACCCCTTCTCTGTTTTTCTCACTTTGCCAACCTTGGACTACCCACTGGTCCTTGGTCACCATTTCCTTCTTCCTGGCATCATTACTATGAAGCGAAATCCTTTGTAAACCTTTATCATTTCTTTATGAAGCTGTGAATCAGAGCAATCACCAGCCTCATGACCGAAAGACCACACTGGGGGAGAAAATGAGGAAAACTCGCATCCTGGTCCTGGAGCCGTTTAAAATCAGTGTGGCCCTGTCTCCATAGGGCTGGGTCTCTCACATGTCAGTGCAGCGCACAGGCCCAGGTAACCTGAAATTCTCGGTGTCAGTATTTATCTCAGTCTAAAATCCTTAATTCCATGAACAAGAAAACAGAACTCAGAAGGGAAAAAATAAGGCAGTAAGGTAAAAGAACTTACAAAGAGTGAAACTTATCTCATAAAAACAACTATTTTCAGAATTAAATCTGTCCACGTGTGACCATGATCCAAAAGAAGTGCAGTAGGAATGCACTTTTATTCACACCATGTTACAGAAGTTCTATCTTAACTTAAGAGCAAAGGACTTCTACCTATGCGATCCGATATTTAGCTTTCTCTGCTTCCGACAGGCACTAGGAAATAGCCAGTTAGTGTTCTTGTCATTTTTGCTTCCTCACAACAGTGGCCAGGCAGACACAGAGATAAATGGCTCAGGTGTGTAGTCTGGACAACCTTCACATGCTGCTAAGGTCTCTGTCCTGCAGGTGAGCCGATGTGCAGAGACAGTGGGCCCGGTGACAAGAGCGACCGTGCTGCAGCACTAGGCCCCGGGGCCAAGTCCAATCACCCCTTGCAGCCGTCTACTGGGCAGACAGCCTTCTCTGCACTCTGGAGAGGAGGGAGCACCGCACAGAGGTGGCATAACATGGCCACAGCCAGGCTGCAGGTGGCAGTGCCGGGCTCAAACCCAGCAGTCCCACTCCTGGGTCCCCTGTACCTGAGTGCCCCGTAACCGAGTGCCCCGTAACTGTGCCCCATAACTGACTGCCCCGTAACCGTGCCCCATAACTGAGTGCCACATAACCGTGCCCCATAACCATGTGCCCTGTAACTGCCCCATAACTGAGTGCCCCATAACTGAGTGCCCCGTAACTGTGTGCCCCGTAACCGAGTGTCCCGTAACCGTGTGCCCTTAACTGTGCCCCGTGACCGTGTGCCCTGTAACCAAGTCCCCGTAACCGTGTGCCCCGTAACCGAGTGCCCTGTAACCGTGTGCCCCGTAACCATGTGCCCCGTAACCGAGTGCCCCGTAACCATGTTAACCGTGTGCCCTGTAACTGAGTGCCCGTAACCGAGTGCCCTGTAACCGTGTGCCCCGTAACCGAGTGCCCGTAACCGAGTGCCCTGTAACCGTGTGCCCCGTAACCGAGTGCCCGTAACGTGTGTCCTGTAATGGTGCCCGTAACCGTGTGTCCCGTAACTGAGTGCCCCGTAACTGAGTGCCCTGTTAAAGTGTGCCGTAACCGAGTGCCCTGTAACCGTGTGCCCTGCTAAACCGGAGTGCCCGTAACCGTGTGCCCCGTAACCGAGTGCCCGTAACCGTGTGTCCGTAACTGAATGCCCTGTAACCGTGTGCCCCGTAACCGAGTGCCCTTGTACCGTGTGCCCCGTAACCGTGTGCCCCTTAACCGGTGCCTGTACCGTGTGCCCCGTAACGTGTGCCCGATAACACTGAGTGCCCTGTAACCGTTGCCCCATAACCGAGTGCCCGTAACCGTGTGCCCCGTAACCGTGTGCCCCGTAACTGAGTGCCCTGTAACGTGTGCCCCGTAACTGAGTCCCCTGTAACCGTGTGCCCCGTAACTGAGTCCCCTGTAACTGTGTGCCCCGTAACTCTGCGTGGCTTTCAGCGGGGGAGGCATAGCAGGAGTGAACATGTGACACTGAGGACTACAGCTACAACCAGCACTTCCTTGTCAAGATGTGACTTTCAATAATACGTGGATGAGGATTATTCTCAAAGACAAAAATATCTCAAAAATCATATTTTAGAAATTATGGAAGCAATAGACTGTCAGAATCAGATCTAAGTTTTTTCTTAAAATACTTTATTTTCCTGAGATTCAGTATATAACAAACACACACACACACACACACACACACACACACACACACACAGCTCCCCCAGCCGGACGCTGCCCCGGAGCCATGACAGGGAGAAGGGCACTGTGCAGGAAGCAGGTTCTCACCCTTCATCACACCCCCTGAGAGCTTGAAATTGTCTGGAATAAACGCCACGGACTATTTTTCTAAGCTCGGTTCATGCTAAGAAAAGTGAACCCCACAAAAAAGTAAGTGATCACGTTGAAGACGATTTACCTGAGAGGGGCAGGTCGGGAAGGTCCAAGCGCGGGGCCACTCCTTTGCTGGCTGGGCGAACGCCGCTGTAGGTTGAGTGCCTCTACAAAACCAAAGGGCACAGCAGCACAGGTGAACTTGTGACATCAGGACCAGCTCAGGCCAGGTGTGCACACATGTACGTACACGGGTTCTCAAGCTCATCCGAATCACCAGGAGGAGCTTTTACAACAACGTATTGGTGTGAAAAGATAATAAACGCACTTGGCATGATCCTCAAAAGGTCCAGAGCAGACACAGAGCTAAAAGGAAGTCTGCCTTCCCTGTTCCTCTCCCTGGGGGGTAATCATTATTTTATTTTTTTAAAAAGTTTTTATTGATTTTAGAGAGAGGAAAGGAGATGGAGTGAGAGAAATATCAATGATGAGAATCACTGATTGGCTGCCTCCTGTACAACCCACACTAGGGATCGAGCCTGCAACCCAGGCACGTGCCCTAACCGGGAATCCAACTGTGACTTCTTGATTCATGGGTCAATGCTCAAACACTGAGCCACACTGACTAGGCAGGTGTAATCATTATTAATCAGCTTTGTGAATATCTTCCTGGAATATTCTATGCATATTCAAGGATATGTGTAAAAACACTGTTTCTTAATGGCCAACAGATATATGAAAAGATGCTCAACATCACTAATTATCAGGGAAATACAAATCAAAACTATAATGAGATATCATCTCACACCTGTTAGCATGGTCATTATAAAACAATAACAAAAGAACAGAAAATAACAAGTGTTGGCAAAATGTGGAAAAACTATAACCCTCTGTAGGTGGGTAAGTAAAATGGTGCAGCCACAATGGAAAAGAATAGGGAAGTTCCTAAAATCATTAAAAACAGACCTACCAGCCCCGTGGGGCGTTCAGTTGGTTGGCGCATTGTCCTGTACACCAAAAAGATTGCAGGGGCAATTCCTGGTCAGGACACTACCTAGGTTGCAGGTTCGATCCCCGATTGATGTTTCTCTCTCACATCAATGTTTCTCTCTTTCTCTTCCTCTCTCTAGAAAAAAATCAATAAACATATCCTTGGGTGAGGATTTAAAAAGAACAGAACTGCCATATGACCCAGCAATCTCACTTCTGGATATATATCCAAAATTACTGAAAATAGGATCTTGAAGAGACACCTGCACGGCAGGTTCCTGGCAGCATTATTCACACTAGCCAAGAGGTGAAAACAACCTGAATGTCCACCAACAGGTGAATGGATTAAAAATGTGGCGTTTACCCAGTTTCATTAAGGAGGTACTATATGAATCGACTGTTTCAATTTAAAACAAACTATTTCAATTACCATAACATAATTGTTAAACACCACGATTTGCTCATAATTCTGCAATTGGAGCAGGGGTGGCAGGAACGGCTCTTCTTGGCTACATGTGCTTCTGACAAGGGCAGTTCAGCAAGGACTTGACCCCCAGGACCCCCGGGCAGTGGCTGCGAGGGCGTGGCGCAGGGCATCCCGCTTTTTCTCTGTGGCCTCTTCCTCCACGGCCTCTCTCCACGCACGAGGCTACCCTCTCGGGTACACCTGACTTTTTTGCTATCCAAGAGGGTAAAAGCGGGTACTGCAAAGCTTTCTGAGGCTTCTGTCCATAAGCTACACAAAATCACTCTGCTCCATTCTGCCGACCAAAGCAAGTCAAAGAGCTAGACTAAATTCAAGGGGAGGAGACAGCCTCCCCGGCATAGGAGCAACCACTAGCTCAGCCAAGTTTTCTGACAATCTGCCACTCAGCTTTTCGCTTTTGTTTCCAATAAAAGTACGGTGGGGGGAAGAAAATGTGGTATCTACATACCATGAAATGTTTTCAGTCTTAAAGCAGGAAATCCTGCCCCTGGTACACCGTGAAGGAACCTGGGAACCGTACCTGCTACGCGGACAAGGATGCAGCGGTGCAGGTGTGCCCTAACGCTGACCCTAGATCTTGACAGAAACGACAGTCCTAGGCAAGCACTCAGGAAAAGAGGCACCCTGGGAACCCTTCCCGGAAGCTCAGTGCAGACTAGGGCCTTCTCCTCCCGCCCTCCCGGTAATTCCTTTCTGCCTCACTAGCTAGAGTGATTCCTGATATTCGACAATTAATCGAGATACACTCTTTATACAGAAAAAGCCTAAGAGCAGGGGTCCTCAAACTACGGCCCGCGGGCCACATGCACATACAAATACTGTATTTGTTCCCGTGTTGTTTTTTTACTTCAAAATAAGATATGTGCAGTGTGCATAGGAATTTGCTCATAGTTTTTTTTAAACTATAGTCCGGCCCTCCAGTCTGAGGGACAGTGAACTGGCCCCCTGTTTACAAAGTTTGAGGACCCCTGCCTAAGTGGGCAAAAATCTGTAAAAGAATTTCACTAATAAGTTTAATACAAATTAAGCTAAATGCCCATCAATAGAGGTGTGTTTAAATAAATAGGTGCATATAATGTAGCCTTAAAAATGAATTATTTTGCCCTAACCGGTTTGGCTCAGTGGACAGAGAGTCGGCCTGCAGACTCAAGGGTCACGGGTTCGATTCCAGTCAAGGGCATGTACCGTGGTTGCGGGCACATCCCCAGTAGGGAGTGTGTAGGAGGCAGCTGATCGATGTTTCTCTCTCATGGATGTTTCTAACTCTCTATCCCTCTCCCTTTCTCTTTGTAAAAAATCAATAAAATATATTTTTAAAAAATGTTAAAAAAATGAATTATTTTCCCAAATACTGAAACTTTAAAGATGTCTTTGAGAGTCCTTCATTCATTAAACAAATATTTCTTGAGCTTCTTCTATATAACTATGTGCTAGCCAGTGTTCTAGATGAGAGATATACTAGCAAGCAAACTAGATAAAAAATCTCTGCCCTTAAGGATTATATTCCAATGGCAAAGTGAAATGAGCCAGTATCTGAATAATGTGTAGTGTATTCCAATTTACAAAACTTTCTCTACACACACACACACACACACACACACACACACTTTTATGCTAAAAAAAATCTAGAAGGGTATATAATAAGCCATAAATGGTGGTTATTTCTGGGTCTAAGGTAAAGGGAGATATTTCACTTTTCCCTTTACTACTACTACTACTATTTTAATCCTCACCAGAAGATTTTTTTCATCAATTTTTTTTTTTTAGAGAATGGAAGGGAGGGAGGAGAAACAGAGAGAGAAAGAAATCTCGATGCCGGCTGGTTTGGCTCAGTGGATAGAACATCGGCCTTCGGAATGAAGGGTCCTGGGTTCGATTCCACTCAAGTGCACATGCCTGGGTTGCAGGCTCGATCCCTAGTAGGAGGTGTGCAGGAGGCAGCTGATCAATGATTCTCTCTCATCATTGATGTTTCTATCTCTCTCTTTCCTTTCCTCTATGAAATCAATAAAAAAATATTTTTAAAAAATGAAACATCAACCTCAGAGACACATCGATTGGTTTCCTCCTGAATGCACCGCAACTGAGGTACATGCCCTTGAACAGGAATCAAACCAGTGACCCTTCGGACTACAGCGCAAGGCTCTAACCATGGAACCAAACTGGCCATTGCAGCCTGGCTGGCATGGCTCAGTGTTTGAGTGTCGACCTATGTCACCGTTTCATTCCCAATCAGGGCACATGCCTGGGCTGTGGGCTTGATCCCCGGTAGGGGACATGCAGGAGGCAGCTGATCAACGATTCAATAGATTTGATGATTATCAAAATATAAATAATTGTTTTATTGGTTTTATATATAAGGTGGTGGAATATATCTTAAAGGGCAAAAAGTAAAAAACAAAACAAAAAAAAACCTTAAAAGATCCTAAACAATATGCACAGCTACTAAGGACACCAGGAAAGGGTACCTGTTAATGACAGCATCGATCTTAGTGCAGGAAAAGCAGAGTGCTGCATGTTATTTATCACATCACAAGCCCTGGTCTTAAAGAGGAAGGAACACTTCCAAGCTTCTTTAATGAGACCAGCATTATCCTCATTCCAAAACCAGATAAAGACACTACAAACAAAGAATTACAGGCCAATATCCCTGATGAACACAGATGCTAAAATCCTCAACAAAATATTAGCAAATCAGATCCAGCAATATATTGAAAAGATCATACACCTTGACCAACTGGGATTTATTCCAGGGATACAAGGCTGGTACAATATTCAATAAACAATGCAAATCAACAAGTGCGATACATCACATAAACTAATTGAAAGTCAAAAATCACATGATCATAACAAGTAGATGCAGAAAAAGCATTCAAAAAAATCCAACACCCATTTTTGATAAAAACTCTCAGCAAAATGGGAATAGAGGGAGCATATCTCAACATGATAAAGGCCTATATGACAAACCTACAGCCAACATCATACTCAGTGGGCAAAAACTAAAACTATTTCTCCTAAGAACAGGAACAAGACAGGGATGTCTGCTTCCACCACTCTTATTCAACATAGTACTGGAAGTCCCAGCCACAGCGATCAGGCAAGAAGAAGAAATAAAAGGCATCCAAATTGGAAAGGAGGAAGTAAAACTCTCATTATTCGCAGATGACATGATATTTATATAAAAAATCCTAAAGACTCTACCAAAAACCACTAGAGTTAATAAAGGAATTCAGCAATGAAGCAGAATATAAAATCAACATCCACAAATAGGTGTCTTTTTTATACAACGATAATGAATTCTCAGAAAGAGAAACTTAAAAAAAATAAAATCCCATTTACCATGCCACAAAAAAGTAAGATACTTAGAAATAAACTTAACCAAGGAGGTAAAAGACTTGTAGTTGGAAAACTACAGGATGTTGAAAATAGAGATAGAAGAAGATATAAACAAGTGAAAGAGTATTCCATGTTCATGGACTGGTATAATTAACATCATTAAAATGTCCATAATACCCAAGGCAATCTACAGATTCAATGCAATCCCTATTAAAATACCAACAGCATATTTCACAGTGCTAGAACAAATACTCCAAAAACTTATATGGAATCAAAAAAAGACCCAGAATAGCTGCAGTAATTTTGAAGAAGAAGAAAAACAAAGATGAAGGAATCACAATGCCAGATTTCAAATTATACTACAAAGCCACTTTACTCAAAACAGGCTGGTACTGGCACAAGAATAGGCATATAGATGAATGGAACAGAACAGAGACCCCAATTAATATTTGACAAAGGAGGCAAGAGCATACAGTGGAGTCAATACAGTCTCTTCAGTAAATGGTTTTGAGAAAATTGGACAGATACAAGTCAAAAAAAAAAAAAAAGAAAAAGAAACTAGAGCAGCAACACACACAAGAATAAACTCAAAATGGATAAAAGATTTGAATGTAAATTAGGGAACCATAAAAATCCCAGAAGAAACCATAGGCAGCAAAATCTCAGGCACCTCTCACAGAAATATGTTTACAGATACATCTCCTAGGGCAAAGGAAACTAGGGATAAACAAACAAATGGGACTACATCAAAATAAGAAGCTTCTGCACAGCAAAAGAAACCATCAAAATGAAAAGGGCCCTACCCAGTTTGGCTCAGTGGATAGAGCATCGGCCTGCAGACTGAAGGGTCCCAGGTTCGATTCCGGTCAAGGGCATGTACCTTGGTTGTGGGCACATCCCCGGTGGAGGGTGTGCAGGAGGCAGCTGATCGATGTTTCTCTCTCATCGATGTTTCTAACTCTCTATCCCTCTTCCTTCCTCTCTGTAAAAAAAAAAAAAAAAAGAAAAGAAAAGGGAGCCCACCGAATGGGAGGAAATATTTGGCAATGATGCATCTGATAAAGGGTTAATATCCAAAATATATAAGGAACTCATACAACTTAACAAAAGGAATAACAAACAATCCAATTGAAAAATGGGCAAAGGACCTAAATAGACACTTCTCCAAAGAGGACATACAGATGGCCAAGAGACATGAAAAAATGGTAAAAGTCACTGATCATCAGCGAGATGCAAACTAAAATAACAATGAGGTATCACCTCACGCCTGTCAGAATGGCTACCATCAACAAATCAACAAATGACAAGTGCTGGTGAGGATGTGGAGAAAAGGGAACCCTAGTGCCCTGCTGGTGGGAATGCAGACCTGTGCAGCCACTGTGGAAAACAGTATGGAGTTTCCTCAAAAATTAAAGATGGAACTGCCATTTGACCCAGTGATCCCACTTCTGTGACTATATCCTAAGAAACCCGAAAAACCAATCAGAAAGAATGTATGCACCCCTATGTTCATAGCAGCACAATTTATAATAACTAAGATCTGGAAACTGCCCAAGTGCCCATCAGTAGATGAGTGGATAAAAGCTGTGGTACATTTACACCATGGAATACTATGCAGCTGTAAAAAAGAAGAATCTCTTACCCTTTGAGACAGCATGGAGGGACCTGGAGAGTATCATGCTAAGTGAAATAAGTCAGTCAGAGAAAGACAAGTATCACATGATCTCATTCATATGCAGAATCTAAGTAACAAAATAAACTGATTAACAGAGTGGATCGGAGACAGGGAAGCATGGAACAGAGTGCGGAATCTCAGAGGGAAGGCGGGGGGAGGGTGGATGGTGGGAGGTAATCAACTAAAGACCTTGTATGCACATATGCATGGCCCATGGACACAGACAATAGGGTGCTGAAGGCCTGGGGTGGGGTGGGCCAGAGGGGGTCAGGGGTCAATGGGGGGAAATGGGGGACATATGTAATACTTTCAACAATAATTATTTTTTAAAAAGTGTTTTTATAAACAAACAAACAAACACATATAAAAGAAAAACCCCGGTCTTAGAAAATGCCAAGAAGCTTTGGTCTGAATCCATCAGAAAACAGCACAGATGGTAGGTTGCATATAGTGAGCTCCTACGAATTTATAAATTGTAAACATTCCTTCTGAGGGTATTTTAGAAAAAACAATTCTTTGAGAAAAACATCTAGTTCAATGTTCATTTCTAGTAAAAATTACAATCTTCATTTAATTGAAAACTTCAAGTGTCATCTTACGGCGAAAAAAAAGTTACCAAAATTGTATGAAGTTTATAGTGTCTCTCTTGGACCTTTATTAGGCATTAAAAGTGTAAATTTTAATTAAAATTAAACTAGTATTGCCCGCCCGGCATAGCTCAGTGGTTGAGCATCAACCTATGAACCAGAAGATCATGGTTCGATTCTAGGTTGGGCACATGCCCAGGTTGCGGGCTTGATCCCCAGTGTGGGTGTGCAGGAGGCAGACGATAAATGATTCTCTCTCCCTCTTCCTTCCTCTCTGAAATCCAAAAAAAAAAAAATATTAAAAAAAAGAAAGTTAAACTATTACTACTTTAGGTTTATTAAAAATGTTTAACCTGCCTCAAAAAATAAACCAATTGGTTTTTACTCCCTTTTGTTGGCTGACACAGACCACCACCTACACGCAATCCTCTTCTATACCTGCATTGGAGAAACAGCGGCCGCTGGGGCCGTCCTCACTGGTATTCCGCTCAAGGGGCTTCTGGGGGGCTTATGGACAGAAACATTCTGTCCAGCTCCACCTGCAAGAGATGGGAATATTTATATGTCGGCGAGTTCAAAATCAAAAATAATAGTTCCTGATTTGTTACTTTTTTGGTGATTAAAAATGTATGCCATGCTGTTTATAGAGTATTCTGTCTACTCTTTTCTCCTTTTTCCTGTGGACGAGTGTTGAAGTGGAGAGTGAGGGCAGCAATGAACTAAGTGGTGTTGGTCTTAGACACAGGACACATGAGGACCCAATGCAATAAGGAACAGGAAAATTCTTGCATAAACCACCTTTAATTCATTTCCCATCTTCATAGACTGAGTGAGTCACTGGGATTTCCTATCTTTCAACATCTGTAGTCTAATCTTAATCTAACTTGGCTGCAAACTATTTTAACAGAAATAACTAGGAACATCCTACGATCAGCTATTACTCCAGTCTCCCAATATCATAAGCATATTTCTTGAGTCAAGTGAAGAAATACGTTGTTATTTTTATATGTATAGAGTATAGATATACATTTTTTCTTATATGTGGATAACAGTGGATAAAGGTGACATTTCCAGAAAGAGGTGGGCTGTACAAAATCAGGAATGACAGATCGCACGGGGGTCGCACGTAAGACAAGACCAGGTGCAGAAAAGTCCAAATGCGTGTTGCAGGATGAGGCGGGCCAGGGCACCAACCAGCGCACCGACCCCCAGGAGGCAATGCCTCACTTAGGAGGTGAAGGCTCTGGCTGACCGCAGACCACAGAAGGCAAATAAAACAGCAGTGGCCTGGTTTTTATGGACAGAGCGGAAAAGGAAGGTGAGGAGGCAGGAGCAGGCAAGGAGGTGGGGAGGGAGACTGCCCATGGCCAGCTCACGGCAGCTGCAGCATGTCTTTCCTGTACAGAGGCTTCCTTTGGAACGATCTAGAACAGTGGTTCACAACCTTCGGGCCCTTTAAATACAGTTCCTCATGTTGTGACCCAACCATAAACTTATTTTCGTTGCTACTTCATAACTGTAATGTTGCTACTGTTATGAATCGTAATGTAAATATCTGAGATGCAGGATGGTCTTAGGCGACCCCTGTGAAAGGGTCGTTCGACCGCCCAAGGGTTGAGAACCGCTCATCTAGAAGAACCCTTGTGGTTGCACCAATTTGGGGTCAGTGCGGAGTAGAGACAGGTTTGGTATTTGGGGCCTTGGTCTGAATTGAGTTTTGCTTATAAAACAAAACGATTAAATACCTGGGTGTCCCAAGTCAAAGGACTTGATAAGGGACTTCACGGTGGTCGCGGGCTCCAAAGGCGCTGCGGAGGCTCTGCTGGCAAAGATGCCGGGCCAGCGGCCGGGGGCATCAGCCTGGGGCTCCGACTCTGCACGCACAGGTCTGCACGGCAAAGAGCAAGTCAGTCGCAAAGGTGGAGGGTGTGCGTGGGGAAAGACGCGGAAGGGAACAGAACGGATGTGGAGGAGATACACGGATCTGGAAGGAGAGCCCACATTTGAAATCATGTTCTGCACTATTTGTGTCTTTGGAAATAAGGTAGGTGCTGCTCTCAATTTTTATCAGCGATGTTTTCTTGGGAATGGCCAGAAATAGTATTTTAAGATGTAGAAATAAAAAAAAAAAGTGAGTCTATTCTGTAAAAAAAAATACACAAATATTATTCATCATAAATAGTTTACTGTCCATGGTGACAACAGTAAATTGGCTTGTCCGTGTGTCCCAGACCCCACCTGGACCACAAAGGTTGGGAAGGTGACACCTCAGGACTCCCTGCAACTAGGATTTCAGATGTGATTTAGGGTCCACTAGTCGGCAAGATGTGGCCTGGCCTGGAGTGGACGGCGCTGGGGAAGAGGGACGGGGTCCTCGGGCTGAGGCAGGCTGCAGCAGAGCGGAGCCGCCTGCAGGCAGGCTCCCCACGCTCAGGGCTCCCCTTCACAGTGAGGTAGCAGAGCCCTGGTCGCTCCGTCCTGCGCTGTGACTTTGGGGAGTTGCCCCTGGAAGCTCCGCTAGAATCTGTCTTCAGCCTCCCAACAATCCTGCAGCCATTTAATACCTTCCTGCTTGACCAGCCAGACAATGACCTATTACAGCAGAATCCTGACTCCTACACCATTTGCCCTCCAGGAGCCAGACGGGAACGGTATTCTAGAACAAGTAACACTGCGATTCTGCACAAGGCGAAGCTTCTATTCCCATCCAAGCTTTCCTGGCAAGTTTTGAATGTGGTTTCTGAATTCAAGCACAGACTCATCGAAGTCTTTTAGAGATAGCTCATCGGATTCAACCCTCTCACGCACGGCTTCCTCAACCAGCGCACGGCTTCCTCACCCAGCGGATGTTAGCATGTCATTTAATCTCCCTGGGAACAACCTCCCAATCTCCTACTTCCTAAACTACTGCTCTTTTTATTATATCAAATTGTTTGCAAGATGATGACTAATTTATGAGAATGGCTCAAAAAGAATATTTCTAGGAGTATATTGTAATAAGGTCAGTGGAAGTTTAAAATATCTACTTGCTGATATTTTTTTTAAATGAATCTAGCTACTCATAAGCTTCTGCAATTGAATTTACTTGTCCTTAATTCTCAAAGCTTTCCCTTGCAGATCTGCAATCAATGTGAACAGAATGAATTTAAGTGAAACAGAACTTAAAACACTTACATCACACTGCTCTACACCTTCCTCTCCATGGCCCCTTCTTTTGGGTGGAAAAAAAAATCAGTAAACTTATGACATCTTTGGAAGAAAAGAGTAGGCATTTCAGAAACTGGCAGAGGGTTGGGTTTAATTTTTTTTATGGAATGGGCTTGGTTTCTTATTTTATTTTCCCCATTGTGTTACACAGTATAAAATTAGGTGGTGTATGTACAGAAAGAGAGTACCATCAGGTTAGTTATGATCAGAAAAAATATCTCTTATCTCTGATCCAGACATTCTCAGGCAGGTGAGAAACAAAGCGGGCCACCCTCTTACCCATCCATTTAAATAACCTGCCAACTCATTATGGTTTTAATTTGCATCTCTCTGATGATTAGTGACATTGAGAGTCTTTTCATGTCTCTTGGCCATCAGTATGTCCTCTTTGGAGAAGTGTCTATTTAGGTCCTTTGTCCATTTTTAAATGATATCACCTCACATCTGTCAGAATCAACAAACAAGTGCTGACAAGGATGTGGAGAAAAGGGAACCCTCATGCACTGCTGGTGGGAATGCAGTTTGGTGCATCCACTATGGAAAACTGTATGGAGTTTCCTAAAAAACTTAAAATGGAACTGTCTTATGGCATAGCAATTCCACTTCTGGGTAAATATCTGAAGAAAATAAAAAACAATTCAAAAGAATGTGACCCCTATGTTCATTGCATCATTATTTTTTTAAAATATGTTTTTATTGATTTCAGAGAGGGAGGGAGAAGGATAGAAACATCAATGATGAGACAGAATCATTGACTAGCTGCCTTCTGTACGCCCCCTACTGGGGAAGGAGCCTGCAGCCTGGGCATGTGCCCTTGACTGGACTCAAACCTGGGTCCCTTTAGTCTGAAGGCCAACGCTCTATCCACTGAGCCAAACCAGTTAGGGCTGCAGCATTATTTACAATAGCCAAGCTATGGAGGCAACTCAAGTGCCCATCAATACATGAGCTGTGGTACATATTTACCAAAGAATATTACTCGGCATAAAAAAGAATGAAATCTTACCAGTTGTGACAGCATGGATGGGCCTACAGGATATTATGCTAAGTGAAATAAGCCAGTCAGAGAAAGACAAATACCATATAACTTCACTTATATGTGGAATCTAATGAACAAAATAAAGGAACAAACAAAACAGAAACAATACAGAAACAAACATAAATAGATACAGAAAACAGACTAATGGTTGCCAGAGGGGAGGAGGGTTGGGAGACTGGGTTAACAAGGTGAAGGGATTGAGAAGTACAGATTAGTGGGTATAAAATATGGGGTTGTAAATTACAGCATAGGAAATATAGTCAACAACATTGTAATAATTATGTATGGTGCCAATTGGGTACTGGAAATATCAGGGGACCACTTTATAAAGTATATGATTGTCTAACCACTGTACTGTACACCTGAAACCAATACAAAATAAAATTGAATGTAAACTGCAATTGAAAAAATTTTTTTAATTAAAAATACTTGCTACCAAAAGGCCTTGTAGAAACTTAGGGCACTCCTCCTAAAAGGAAGATCATTTAAAAAATATATTTTCATTTCATTCCTTGATAATAAGGACAAAATAAAAACCCTATATCTACTGAAGTATTCCCTTCAATTATCCAAGTTTCTCTGCGATTCAAAACATCAAATGATAAGTCAGAAAACTCGTTCAGACTCTATTAGAAAAGTGCAAGACTTCAAGAACAGTTCCCAGTCCCTGTGCCTTCAGATAGCCAACGACCCAATCAGTCCACAGGCTAGAACAATAAGCATCAGTATGAGAAAACTTTGCAGGTTAAGTGGATTAGAGAAGCTACTGGTCTAAATACTAACCGTGTTATATAACAGTGATGTGTGTGTGTGTGCACGTGTGTGCATGTGTGTGCGTGCGCGCAGACTTACAAAGCCTGAATTGAAGAATAGTTATTAGTATTTTAATCATAAACAGGCTTGAAATTCATTACAACAGTCTGCCTTAGAATTATTTGGGATCAACCAGTAACAACACCATTAATAGATGAAGTAGATTTGACCCCTGATCATGGGTTTGAATTGCACAGGTCCAGTTAGACATGGATTGCCTACACTAATAAAAGAGAAAGATGCAAATTAACCATCACTCCATCACTCCGCTACACCCACCAGCCAATCAGGAGCAAGTATGCAAATTAACCCAGCTAAGATGGCAGCGGCCACGGAGCTGGAGCGAGCAGGAGGCTTGGGTTGCCCCCAGCAATGGAGGAAGCCAAGCTTCCTGCCTGCCCTGGCCTGCCCTGGGCTCTGCTCAAGGCTACAAAGTTTCAATTATAGAAGATAAATAAATCCCAGATACCTGCTTCCAGCCCACTGGCCTCTGCTCAAGGAGGTGCTGGAAAAAAAAAAAAAAAGAAGAAAAAATGGAGGCTGGGAGCTTGGGTCGCCAGGGGGCATGGCCAGCCTGAAAATGGCCCTCAGTCCCTCACCCAGGCTGGCCACACCCTCATGGGGTGAGGGTCCCCACTGGGGGGTTTGGCCAGCCTGCAAACAGTCCTCAGCCCCTCACCCAGGCTGGCCAGGCACCCCAGAGGGACCCCCACCCTGATCCAGGACACCCTTCAGGGCATGGCCAGCCGGCCCCCACCTGTGCACCAGGCCTCTATCCTATATAATAAAAGGGTAATATGCAAATTGACCCTAACAGCAGAACGACTGGGAATGACTGGTCACTATGACACACACTGACCACCGGGGGCAGATGCTCAATGCAGGAGCTGCCCCCTGGTGGTCAGTGCACTCCCACAGGGGGAGCTCTGCTCAACCACAAGCCAGGCTGACGGCTACCAGCACAGTAGTGGTGGCGGGAGCCTCTCCTGCCTCCTCAGCAGTGCTAAGGATGTCCGATTGCAGCTTAGGCCTGCTCCCTGCTGGCAAGTGGACATCCCCCGAGGGCTGCCGGGCTGCCAGAGGGATGTCTGACTGCCAGCTTAGATGTCTTAAACCAGCAGGTGGACATCCCTTGAGGGGTCCCCGACTGTGAGAGGGCACAGGCCGGGCTGAGGGACCCCCCCGAGTGCACAAATTTTTGTGCACCAGGCCTCTAGTTTTCAATAAATACAGAGAAAAGTATGTATAGAGAAAAATATGTTTTCTCCTTATGATTTTAATTTTTTCTCTAGCTTTACTTTATTGTTAGAATACAGTATATAATACCTATACATACAAAAGATGTGTTAATCAACTGTTCATGTTATTGGTAAGGCTTCCAGTCAACAGTAGGCTATGTGTAGTTAAGTTTTAAGGGAGTCAAAATTCGCAGATTCTCAACTTTGCCCTAATACCAGTGTTGTTCAAGGGTTAACCGTATTACATTCCCACTGTTCCAAGGAAGAATGAGAACTCTATATTGGATAAAAGATATTAAGAAACATTTAAACATAGAGACAGGTGGGTGTATTACAGCAAATACATTAAATGAGAAGTTGCAAGGTACCACTATTTGAGTAAACATTTGTTCAAGGCTAGCTGATGACTCCTAAGACAGATGTTAGGTTTTAAGGTCAACCCAAAACACCAAATACAGCTTAGGTGTTTTGTAAATACAGCTGAATAGAAATATACCATCTTTCAATTAGCCTAATGCATTCGTTTTTTACAGCAGTTAGCTTCTTTCTTCAGATGCATCTCAGTTGAAATGGCTACCCTTGCTTAGGGAC